CTGCAGGAGGTGGGGTGAAGACCAATTCTTCCAGCCACAGAGAGCAACTGCTCTGCCTCTTCTTACACATACTCTGCTAAGTTTCTTTAGCATGATGTTGCCTCTGTACTGCTGAGTTCAAATTAGTCTTAGTCTATGGCTTGGTCTGTACATGTTCCTGGACAAGGAATTGGCAACCACAGAAGCAAAAGTTGTAAAGAAAGCCATGGAAGATAAAGCCAAAGCTTCAGAATATGAAAGGAGACAAATCAAGAAGAAAGAGAAGTCTAAAGCAGCTGAAAAGGACAATTGCTCTAGTTTTAAACTACACAAAGAGAGTTCTGCTTTTGGCTTTGAAAGAGCTAAAAGAGCCACAAATACCAGTCCAGAAGATAATGGAGCTATGAAGATCTGCATACAGCTGAAACATAACTGAAAAGGGCAGCTCCAAAGAGCTGGAAATGCTGTGGTAAAGAAGAGCAGATGATCTTCAGGGTATTTTAAAAGAAAGTCCTCAGTTCAATACCATGAAGGTTCACAGTACTGTATCTCTCACAAAAGCTTGAGGAACAAAATCAAAACTTTCCATCCCATTCTGTCTGAGAGCAGAAAGGAACATGCTATTATCTTGTCTTACCTGTCATGTATCATGTCATTTATTTCTACTTGGTCACCATTATGACCTCACTTGCTAACTTGAACCATCAAAAGGATGTCAGGTCTCAAGAGACTGAGCTTCTTCATGCAACAGGCAGAGAACACAAGAAATGGCAAGATGTAAGAATCTTGTAGTGGCAAAGATATTGATAAAACATGTTCAAATAATGCTAATGACACCCCAGCTCACACAGGATCCTTGTCAGTCTGAGGGGGAAATTCCATTCCAAGCCCCTGTTTGGGAGTTACTCTCTTCCAGGACAATGGCTTACTGCCTTTGTATCTGCACTTAACTAGGTAGTTCAGATCAGTCTCACGGATAGCCTAAAAAGCATAAAATTACAAAGAGCCAGCAGTTGCCGAGCAGCTCATTGAACAGCTAAGATATCCAGTACACTTCCACAAGCAAGTATTGGGGAAATTCTCCTGATGAAACTTCTGAAAATACCAACTGCCCTGTGAAATCCGTGGTCATTCCACCAGGCAAGAATATTTGCAGCAGTGCTGTATGAAAAAAATAGCAAATGTTTAAATGGGTTTCTTAAAAGAGAGCACTTCCTCTATACCCTGCTCTTGCACATCAGCACAAGGCTCCTGCTTAGGATGAACTCCTGTTTAGAAGTGCGGTTTGAAGATACATTGACTTGATATTCACATTGTTCATCCCACAACATGGCCCATCTTGCACTATAGCACTGCAGCCTGGGAAACTCCCATTAACGCAAAGCAGGAATCAGCTTTCTGATTCAGTAGTTGAGCAGCTGACGTGCAGCTACACCCTTTGAGAGATTTCTTTAGAAAAATCACAAGTTTCGGCTAAAGTGCGTCCAAGCCCCATGTCATTACTCACAATGCAGTACTGTGTATCACGATTGAGAAATTCTGGCCACTTTTCATATTTTTGACGTTAGCCTGGGATACTTTATAAATGCTCACCACCTGCGTCATTCAAAGGAAAGCTGCACCCTTGTGCATGTGAAAACCGTGTGTGTATTCATTAACAGATAAACTATCTCTCTTCAGATATAGAGATCAGTCCTTTCTCAGAAGTGTTGCGCTTCTTAACAGAAGCAGAGCAAGCACTACCTTTATTAATTACAGTGTCTAAGCCAAAGCATGTAGAAATAATAGTACAGTATGATGAATTGAGCCAGTACTGTCAAATTTCACCACACCTTTGCTTTCTGCAGGTGTGGAGCCAAATGCCTCAATAATATTTATACAGGAACCTCACCACACCCTCTGGAAACTCATGTGGGTTTAAATACTGTTAGAATATGTCAGCAAGGATTGCTTGGCAAGGGAATGCTTGCAAACTTACTTGTGGGAGGTACACAACAGATAGATATCTACTCTCTTTCAAAATAAAGACACGTGTATTCTCAACCAAAGCCTTAAAAGGAAAAAAGATACCCAAAGAACTAATCTCTCAAAAACTATTTGAGATCTCAGGGTGGTACAAACTTACCCTAAATAAACATCTGCTATAGCACAAACAAAATCTGTTATAACCAGTCAAGGTGATGCATAGAACTTAATAATGTTCTGTTTTTTGAGTTGACAAGGTTAGGAAAAGCTCATGCCATGCTCTCAATTACATTATGACAGAGACATCACCCAGAAGAGAGTCCTCCTCCGCACAGGAAGGTATCTAGTCACTCAATAACCTTACTAGTTTCTCAGTTGCTGTGCCCCTTACAGTTTTTAACTAAATCACACAGAGATTTAGAGAAAAATATATCAGGGATTAGTTTAATCAGGGACTAAAATATTCTCAGATTTCAAAACCTTTCTCCTCCCTGTAGTATCTCTGAAGTCCTTTTAAGGGTTTTGGGACATTTAAATCCTTTCATCTTTATAAACTATTGGCTTGTTCTGGCTGAGCCAAAAACCTGAATAGAGTGCTCTGCTGATCGAACCAGGAATTCTTCCCTCCTGGGTAAATAAACAGTGCTTATACTGGTAAAAAAAATATTTGAAGATGTCAGGGAAACTGAAGATTCAACTGTTTCTTCAAACATCACTTCTTCTTTTGATCTACCTAAATATAGAATATGCTAGTTTTGATTTAAATCAGATTTTCAAAAGCTATACAGAATTGATAGCTAAAATATGATACCGATGAATGTGAAAAACAGCCATGGAAAGTTGTATCCTAAAATAGTGTGTGAAAGCAGAACCTACCAGTTTTCTGTGACAGAAAGCCTTTCTCTCAAGACCCTCAAGAGCCTTTATAGAGCACTTAATTGTATTCTGTGCAGACATCAAGCATTTCATTTACTCCTGAATCTAGATGTGCTAATGTACAGGACAACACACTGTGTAAGAAAGCCACAATGACTTGTGCTAAGTTATACTGTAACTGGATGAAAACAAAATGCGTTTATATAGCTGGGATCTGGCCACGGCACTGATGTCCTGCCAGTATTTGTCCTGACCAAATATAAACATGAATGGCTACAGTAAGAGAGCCCACGGGTTTACTTCCCTCAGGAATGGTACTGTTAATACAAATATAAGTCTTCTAGTGTGCTGATGTGTTGACTTAGTATGGAGTGGGAGAGAGAGTACCGCTGCTCCTGAGTCAGAAGTAGCACCACCCATTGAATTGAGTCCTCTGGTAGTGTTACTTTAAAAGGACATCATTGGAAAATGTTATCAATTCATCACGTTGATTTAGCATAGGATGTCCTTGAGACTAGTATAATTTTAGTTACACAGTATGCTTTTTTGTTTTTTGCTAATAACCAGGAAGCTTTAAAATCCTGTACAAAGGCACAAGCCGCTCATTCCCTCTAACCCAGCATTTCTGCATAAGCAGAACACCTCAGCCACTTCTTGTAAAGCAGTAAGCAATATTGTAAATTAGCAAATTAAATTCACCCATTTTAAAACCAGAAAATCCACAGTAATTGCTCTAAGGGATAAAATCTATACAGTATTATCTATCATTCGTTCAACAATGTGGCTAAATATGAAAAGATTACTCAAATCATTTAGCCTTTGGGAATCACTTAAGGCCAATGTAAACAGATTACAACTTTCCCAGGCACAATGGAAGCAATTAATTATGCAGTGAACACCTCTCCTACACTATGTTACTCTCTGAAAAACCTAACAAACAGATGCATCTAATTATAACTCACACTGAAACCTGATGGTTTTGTGTATCTACAATTTCTAAAGACCCAAGGGGCAGGAAAACACTATCTGATTAAAGTCGTGCAGTTCCTCACAGGTAGACAAGCAACTTTAACAAAGCCTTTGGTTTCCAAATTATATTGATGCAGAATGCTCACCATTGGCAAGGGACTCTTTGCAGTTGCACCTGCCTATGTCCTACACCAAATTTTTCAGGTACTTCCATGACTCATTCCTTATTACAGGGTCCTCTGTGCTAGCCACTGAGATTATAGTTTTAGTCCATGTTAAATGTATGCTTATAGGCAGAAGAAAGGTCTCAGAAAGCAGTTTATGCCAAGAAGATAGAATCTGTGAGTCTTCCTCAGTGTCGAGGAAGCAGCTGTGGAGAGACAAGTACCTCCTAATGAGGTCTTCAAGGTGGTATTATCAACAGTGCAGAGAGGTAAGGAATGAAATGAAGGACAAGGGTAGGAATACACAGGGGTTTCCTAAATTAGGGGTTAGAGAAGGGATGGACAGCTACAAAAAAGACAACAGAGGAAAGGACAGCATGATTGCAAGGAGAATCAGGGAAGGAGGTGTTTTAGTAGCCAGGACAAGGAAAAAAATATAATTTGACAGAATATCCATTTATTGAACGGAAAATAAGGAATAGCTCTCTGAGGTGCTACACTGGTCAAACAGCAGCTTTCAGATTAGGGTGGGGAAACAGAAGCAGAAGAGAAATGAAGTCAAACCTAAGACCCACACCAGGTTCTAGTCACCAGTGATTAAGAAAAGCAAAGGTCCCGTGCCTGTTTCTCAACCTTCAGTATTCCACAGTGACAACATTTTCCTGGTTGTACACTCTTAGAATCCTCTGAGATTAACAAAATTCACTTTTCTAAAATAGAAACCCACCAGAAGTGACAAATACCTTCTCAATACGAAACAGACAATAGAAAAACTCAAATATAAGAAGTCACTGTCTTCTCTCTGTCTGTTCAGTTAATGTGTCTAATTTCAGCTAGATGAATCATAAAACAAGTATGTCAGCAACTGCAAATTTAAAACCCTCCAAACCACAAAAAAAAAAAAGTTGTTTAAAGTAGTGTGGGTTCAAGTTGTTACTAGCCTGTTGCCAGAAAGATGTTTATAGAAATACTTGTGCAGTCAGTTTTGTAAGTTTCTTGTATGGTATCATTCTCACCACCACTTCACATCCTACTCTGAGATGATTCAGTTCTTCTGAATGTGGGATGTGGCTTACAGGGCATACAGTCATGAGTCATAAGAACTGTCCACTATAAATTTTCCCTACCCTTCATGTTAACTGAAGAAACCTTGGAGACAACCAGAAGAGCAGCATTCTTCCCTGAACAAAATAAGGTACTGTAATGATTTCTGGAGATTATTTATTTCATATACTCTTAGATGGTGTTGCTTTGCTGACAAATGCAGAGAAAAGAAAGGAAGCGGAGATGTGAATTGGAAATTGAAAATGCTTGGGAAAGTGATTTACTTGCACAGGCATTGTCTAGAAGGTGGAAGTCTTACACAGGAAGAGCAATTTATTGTACAGAGTTCTATGATTTCTAGAGCCTCACTGGCTAGCATATCTATCATAGCACAGTAAGAACCACTGTGTTTGCTTAAGTCAGCTAATTTGTTCTTGTCCTCTGTAGTTCTTATGAACATCAGGTCAGCTCTTAGTTTGCAAGTTACCCAGGACACAAACTGTCTTTAATCTAAGGCCATCTAGTCCCGGCCTCGTGCTCTCAGCTAAACCTGCAATGCAAATGACAAACAGCAACATTTGTGGTCTACTGAATATTGAAACTCTGTCCTGCAGAAGAACTGGGAAGCTAGGATCTGGGATAGCATTGTAAGACAGAGTTTCAGGACATTTTTGAAAGTCAAAATGGGAATGCTTATCATGCAAAAGTCAGGGCAATGCCTGCCCAAGCATTGGCAGGAATATTTTGTCCTAAGGAATATCCTAAAGGAAACGGAGTTCACTACAGTTATGAGCATCAAAAGGCTCTTGCAGAAACTGAAGCATAAAAATTGTCATAAAAGACAGTCTCTCAGTATCTACTAGCCCAGGCAGTGGTTAATAACATTACCAACTGTGGCTCCAAGATGCTGTAAAGAACAGTGCAATAACTGTCCTGGTGAACAAATACAAAGCAAGGTTGGAGGCTGATTTTCCCCTAACCTAAATGATAGCTAATGAGTGTCATCAGTGAAACAGGACATGCTAAACCTTGTCTGACTTTATAATGGTTAATCCTCCTCATTCTTAATATAGATAAATACTTTTAGAAATACTTTAAATCACAAAAGAACATTAAAAAACCAAAGAGAAACTGCAGAATATGTCAGTCATAATTAGTGGTTTGCTAATAGCATCTTTTCTCCCTTTCTGTGCAGGTTCAGAACAATGGAAGCTTTGAATAAAGCAAACAAAAGCTTTGCTCTCGACTTCTTCAAACATGAGTGTCAAGAAGACGGTGACAAGAATATTTTGTTCTCCCCTTTGAGTATTTCATCAGCCCTGGCTACTGTTTATTTGGGAGCCAAAGGTAACACAGCAGATCAGATGGCAAAGGTGAGTCTGAGCTTCAAAGGGTAGCTGTCTGAACAGCTTATCTCTTGGATTAACTTTCTCTATGGAAGAAATTTATTGTGATGAAACAGAGGAAAGCCACAAGCAGAAAAATTAATCAAAACACTACACACATATATACTAGCTCGCATTTCACCCATGATGGGCACTGCAGCACTGCAATGAATAGATCAGTTCTCTACTAACGCAGGTCAAAAAAAAATAGTTTACTCTAGCCTCTGGAAACAGGCCTCCTACAAATGAAAGAAGTGGCAGTGATGACATGGTTTCCTTTCAAATCTCACCAGTAGAAATAAGGGATTTTTATCCCAAAGATCAATAACGAGCACTCAGCAGGGAGCAGGAGACCTGGACTCTTCTTTAACTCTGCCACAGACAACTTCCATCTCATGTCTCACCTCTTTGGAAATGACTCCCCACTAAAAGACTCCCTTCTATAGCTATTGTAAGTTTTGCTCTTTGCTAAACATAAATCCACTTCCACCAGATCAGAGAACAAATGTGATGAGACTACAAGCCTTGCTTTGGGGTATGCATTTTACAGGCAAAATCTGTAATCTGCTCAAATCCCTAAGTCGTATTTGTGCAAAGTTCATAGCTTCAGCAGGCAGCTGAACAAGCTCAGTGCACAGTTATCTAGCTCCTATCATAGGAGGTGAGGCTCGTGAGTTGCCATCTGCTAAAGCAGAAGTTGTCCAACCTGCTAAGGCAGATCTAACTTCTGATTTATAGGACAGAAGATGGCTGATAGGGTAACATGAAAGGAGCAACCTTCTGCTGAGAAGAAGGGAAAACAAACAAAAAAGGGGGCATAGCTCTTCCAAAAAAATGTTCAAAGGGCTGGATGCACCCCTTTGTAGTCTGGGTAAAGTGTACATGCTCAGAACAAGGTATTTAAGGCATGAGACTGCCTGCACTGTTTTTCATGCCTTCTGACACAAAGCAGCACTACATTTAAACTTGTGCTTTGGTAGCCTCCCCTGGGAGATAATTGGCTCTTCCCAAGTATTTACTGGTCAGCCCAGGGCGTTCCTATCTAGAGGAATCTACCTGCAACTCAAAGCAGGTAGATTCCTCTATATAGGCCAGGTACATGAAAGTTTTGCCCTGCAGCCTTAGTGTGCCTTAGCATGCACAAGCCATTTTGTACACATGGACCTTGACACGTAACCAAAGATTTCATATTCAGTCAGGAATATGAATTAAATATGAGTTTGGCTTTCTTCATCACCACTCCCATGACATCACTGGAAGGTTTTACTTCAATCATGGATTTTCTATCGTTGCATTTATTATTGCTTTTTCCACTATAGGTACTTCACTTTAACAAAGCTGAAGGAGCCAAGAATGTCACCACAACCATAAAAATGCAAGTCTTTTCCAGAACGGAAGAGCGTCTAGCAAACCGATGCACTTGTTTCCAGAAGGTATCTCATCAAGTCTAGTGATCAAACTATGGGCATAGTCACATCTTCTCTTGCTTGTATTTTCCTTCCACATTTGCATTTGCATGTTTGCCTTCCTCAGATGTAGTGTGCACAATTAATTGGTACAGCATCCTGTGATACCTTCACCTAATGCAATACTTACTACATGCTTCCTCTTTTTAGGCAGAATTGCAACAACTAACCTCAAATTTGCAAAATTTAAAATTTGATGTTGCCATTCTCTGTCAATAGATCTGATCTTTTTCCTTTAGCTCTGAGGAGAGATTTCTTTCTCAAATTATTACTGTTCAATAGCTAGCTATTTAGCTACAACATGTTTTTTGAACAGGAATGGTTCCTATCTCAGAGAGCTAATCACAAGAACAGAGCTGCCATTACACACATTTGATTGCAGCAACAAGACAACAGAAACCAGAACATTAACTTTTCCAGGCTACCTGTGCTTGATATGTTTCAGAAATTGTCTCCATTTCAGTTGAATAGTTAACAAAATAAATTCACATGGAGTTTCCCAAGATTGAACAGTTGTTTGTAATAAGCCCTAGTGTAATGTAAATCATATTCCTAAGATATTTCTTTGACATACCGGCAGGCGTCTTCTACCAGAGTATACACAATTTAACATAGCAGAAAAATATGGAAAAGCAAGTGTAATCCTTCTGAGTTAGTAAAAGCTGGTTTTCCTCAATGACAATTCAGCCAAGGTGGTGTCAAAATCTTCTCCCTGCTTTTTCCTGTCATCCTTCTTCTTTGTGGGAGTAAGCCATTTCCCTGCAGTCTGCCCACAAAGCCCCAGCAGTGGCAAGTTCTGATGAATGGGCACTTGGATCTGCATCCCACAGCCAAACCCTGTGGTGGGAAGATTTATTTTAGGGGCTGTGTCAACAACCCATTTACACTGAATGAACAGGAGAGGGATTGTTCCTCATGAGTAATGCATCCGAATTGTAAGAATTAACAGTGCTGTGAGGAGGTCAAAGGAACTGTTTTAACAGTTTAGAAATGCAAGCGTCTGTTAATGCCTCTGATTCTAATGTAATGACAAGAAGAATACAGCACAGGTACAGATTTTTGGTTTACTAATTCACAGCTTAACTTCCTTGAGTTCATTTGGGAGTCTGTGCCCCATTAATTTAATCCTGTTACTTCAATATAAAGAATTTACTGCAACATAAAAAAAAAAAAAAACACACCAAAAATATCACAAAATATTAACATTAAGAGCAAGATTAAGAAATTTAGGGGCAAACTTTCCATGTAATACACTTGACTTTCATAAATGAAAGGAGTCACACAGCCACATCTTCATGCATCATTTAACAATTACAGTTTGTCTCTCATTCACTGGATATACTTAGTTTCACAATTTCCACTTACAAACCCTTAAATGTTTTACATAGTTAAGGCTCTTAATGCTTGCATCTAGATATCTACAGTGTCAGTACCACCTCTGCAACTTCTAATACTTTCAAATGATTCTTTTAATAGCTGTGCAGTTTAGACCACCTCTTGCGTTACAATACAGGTAACAGATCACCTGAATAGAAATACCTGGAGCTGTGTGAAGGAAAAAGTTAGAAATTTTGAACTATTTTACACAACAGATGGATAATGTCTTTTTTTTTTTTTTTTCTTTTCTTCAAGACAGAAATTGGCAAATCGGATAATATCCATACTGGGTTTAAAGCACTCAACTTTGAAATCAACCAACCCACTAAAAATTATCTCCTTAAAAGTGTGAACCATCTATATGGAGAAAAATCGTTGCCTTTCAGTAAAGTAGGTAGCCAATTTATTGAGATTATGCTGTGTCATTTAACCTTTACGATCTATCTGTGACTAGATACCATAAACCATATAATCTAAAATATTTTCATTACATCTGCAAGTCATATTGTTGTCCTTAACATAAATGTTTTCTATGAGACTTTTCCCAAGACACTGGACTAAAATTTTAGTTTTATCGGATGTGTATCTGATTTCAGAATGATTTCCAGATGTAGTTAGGTGAGAGTGGTTTAGAACATAAATTGTGTATTTAAACTGAAAAATAATTTTTCCCTTTGACAAAATGCTGTGCTTGTAATCTAGGTAATTTTTAAATGTTTTCTCCCTGTTTGCTTGTAGCTATTTATTAGCATTCATATTGGCAGGCAACAAAGATAAGACAGGTTTCTCTCTTGCACTGCAGGAATATTTACAGTTAGCCAAGAAATACTATAATGCAGAGCCACAATCAGTTGACTTTGTGGGAGCAGCAGATGAAATCAGAAGAGAGATCAATTCCAAAGTCAAACACCAGACTGAAGGTAAGCTCCAGCCTCTCCCCTCACAGTTAAAATGCTATTTTGGCATTGAACAAAGTCTCTGTATCCAAGGGGCCTAAAGCAGGTAAACGATTCACCTTAGAAATGTAAATCAGATCAATTTTCCTAAAACAGGCATCTGCTGACAAGTCCTTACAAAAATTAGTGTCCTCCATCTGAATATGGAAGCAATGTGGCTTGCTTTTCTTTGCAAATCAAGATTATCTCAGTTACCACATATTTGTGAATAATCTCAAACTGGATGCATGCCATATCAACACAGAATTTCCCTGGCTTATATCCATAAAAACTTGGTCAACACTCACGCTGAAACAGTAAAACTGCACTAATGTGTAAATGTCCTGCTTTCTCTAGGTAAAATTCAAAATCTGCTGCCTCCTGGATCCGTAGATTCACTCACCAGGCTAGTCCTGATAAATGCACTCTACTTCAAAGGAAACTGGGCAACAAAGTTTGAAGCTGAAGCCACCAGGCAAAGGCCTTTCAAAATAAACATGGTATGGGAATATACTGTCCTATATCCTACACTGCAGGTGGAAAAAACAAAAAGATGGGGGAGAGAATTTCCGTCAATCTTTAAAACCATGCAGCATTAAAATTATTTCATTTAAAGCATACAGTTTATTTTCCACACCACACATCAGCGCAAAGACTGCACACACATACTGGCACCTGAGCCACAAGTAAAATTGTCAGATGCTTACTTGAAATAAGCTTCCCTTCTCCAAAGGCAGAGAAAACAAGGAGGCAAACAAAACTGCATGGGTTTGTTCTTTACATTTTCATTTTTAACCATACAAAAAAATCAGAGTGGAATACAGATTCCTGTAATGGGTGTGACCTGAGACAGTTTAGATGGCCTGCCTAGTTTCCATGTCCAGGGGTCCTCTGCAGATCCTGTGTCCTACCATTTGGAGCCATAGGGATGTCTCAGCACACTGGCAGCTTGCACAGTAAATACAACAAACCTCCACTGTGCTACTGTAACTCAGTCCTTTACTGTTTAGTCAGAGTACAAACAGCAAACATTTAATTTGATCTGTTGCAGCATACAACTAAACCAGTGCCCATGATGTACCTGAGTGATAAGTTTAACTGGACCTACATAGAATCAGTCCAGACTGATATTCTTGAGCTTCCATACGTCAACAATGACCTCAGCATGTTTATCCTTCTACCAAGTGACATCACCAGCCTACAAAAGGTAAAGCAACTGAGAACATAAGTAATCTGAAAAATCAAGAGCGTTATTATTTACTTTATGAATGAGCAAGGTAAAAGACCAGGGTGCAGTCATGTTTCTGGGAAGAAGGGTACTGATCGGGCTCAAGGAAAAGCAAATCCCAGATGTGGTCTAGCACTGTGAACTTGAACATCTTGGAGCTCAGACTGGATTTCTTACTCTTGATAGCTGGCACTTCTGTGGTTCCTAATGTCGATCAGTCTTACAAACAACTCACTCCACCAGACTGTCTCCTCTTTCAGCTGAACAAAACCGAGGACATCTAGCCAGCCCTGCTGAGATCCAGTGTCTGTATCCCTTCAAACAGATATGTTTTCACTCAAAAAAAAATTCCCAACCGAACCACAAACTGGGCAGCCTCCTTTACTTTCCAGGGTGTCCAGAGCTAATACATATGGACACTGCCACCTTCTGTACGGAGACAGACGCTGCCTTTGGATAACTAACTAAATTCTCATTCACATTAGTGGGTGTTCTGGAGATGAAAAGCACTTTTTAGTCTGTGACCAGACTACTGAAAAACTACTACAAATCAACCAGCCTACTGTTACTTGACACTGATATTTTTGTTTTAGAACTATTTAACCCTTTCATATTCCCTGACAGTTACTGAAACCAGTTAAAATACTGCATTGACCTGCTGTAGAACAACACACTCCTTCAGCCAGAAAGATCTCCAGATTGGTCTTTCCCTACCTTTTTTCTTACACTCTTACAACAGCTTGTAAAGTCTCAATTTAAGAGAAGAAATAGCCCTTAGAGCACAAGTGTTTGAACACATTTTAATTGTCTGATTCTCTTTTTATTAACTGCAGCTAGAAAGAGAATTGAGTTTTGAAAACTTGTCTGCATGGACCAGCCCTGAACTGATGGAGAAAATGAAAATGGAAGTTTATTTGCCCAGGTTCACATTAGAGGAGAAATATGACCTCAAATCTACTTTGAGCAGGATGGGGTTACAAGATGCCTTCATTGAAGGTCAAGCTGATTTTACAGGAATGTCAGAAAATGGTGACCTGTTTTTGTCACAAGTGTTTCACAAGTGTTATCTGGAAGTCAATGAAGAAGGCACAGAAGCAGCAGCTGCCAGTTCAGCAACACTGGCATCACGAAGTCTTGGTGCTACTGTTATTTTTGTGGCAGATCACCCTTTCCTCTTCTTTATTCAGCACAACAAGACCAAAAGTATCCTCTTCTTGGGAAGATTGTCTTCCCCATAAACTCGCATTTGTTAAACAGACTCTTGCAACAACAATGAACAAACTGCATCTCCATAGTCTGTGCACCTCTTAATTTTCCTGTACTGTTGACAAATCTCTCAACTTTAGAAGAGAGCACATATGGAAAATAATCTGGAATTCATGCCTCTTGCTCATTTTCCTAGCCAAAGAACCCCAAAATGCTAGCACTACACTATAAGCACCAAACTGTGCACAGAACAGTGCACTTTCTGAACCAGAACTGCCACAATGCAGAACATACCAAGTTCTGATCTAAACCAGTAATTCCAAACACGCTTGCTTTGGTTCATAAGAAGAAAAGGACCAGGAAAAAATCATTCCTGCAAAAAGCTGTTGCATCTCCATTAGTTTCAGCTCGCTGAGCTGGTCATCCCATGACAGCTACCTTACCACATTCTTGCCAGTTTTATACCCATTTTGCAGCCTGGCACAGTTGACAGTGAAATAAACCTGCAAAATCCTGTGTTCTGATGATGCCTCTTTCTTGCATGCAAAGGGGCTAACACATGTACTTTCTAATTTTGCCCCACAGCAATTGGAAAATATTGAACAACACTGTAGAACTGGAAAAATATAAAACGCATGTCTTGAAACCTTCTCCTTTGTGACCTTTTATGCATTTAATACTGTTGCCAGCCCAGCACCCCACTGCTTTACTCTCATTTTACTTCGCCACTTATTTCACCAGTTTGAGGCAAGATCAAATTAGGCAATCAAGCCTTTAATACAGACTCCCTAAGAGCTTTCTGGAAGATTACATGCTGTCCTGGGTTCAGCTATAACAAGTATTTTTCTCCTTCTTAGTAGCTGGTGCAGTGCTGTGTCTTTTACTTTTCAGTCTGAGAACAGTGCTGATAACACCGATGTTTTTAGTTGTTGCTAAGTAGCACTTGTCCCAATCAAAGACAAGACTCATGCTCTGCCAGTAAGGAGGGGCACGGGAAGCTGGGAGGAAGCAGAGGCAGGACACCTGACCCAAACTAACCAAAGGCGTATTCCATACCCCAGCACGCCATGCCTGGTATAATAACTGGGGGCAGCTACCCAGAAGGGTTAGATCACTGCTCAGGTAGGGCTGAGTATCTGTTGGTGGGTGGTGAGCAGTTGTATTCTCTTCCCTTGTTATTTCCCTTATCATTATTATTATTGGTGGTAGCAGCAGTGATTTGTGTTATACCTTAGTTACTAAACTGTTCTTATCTCAACCCATGGGAGTTACATTCTTTCAATCCTCCTCCCCGTTCCTCTGGGAGCAGGGGGGAGGAAGGGGGGGGGGGAGTCAGCAAGCAGCTGTATGGTTCTGGGTTACCAACTGGGCTTAAACCACAACACATTTCAGAACATATTTACTCCCATCACAGCCCTTTCTCCTAAGAGAGAGTCTTAATCAGTCACGCGTGTTTGTAGGGGGTGCTCCTAACTCTCTGAATACACAACAGAGAGCAAAGGACTGGGTCTTTTACAGGACTTGCATACTGCAACAGCATCTTACTAGAAACATCTCTTCTTGAGATGGCAGGACTCCCTGTCCTGGGTTCAGCAGTAGCAGTCATGTTTCTCCTTCTTGGTAGCTGGTGCAGTGCAGTGTTTTGACTTTCGGCCTGGGAACAGAACTGATAACAATGATGTTTTGGTTTGGCCAAGGACTTTGTGAGCCTCATGCTCTGCCAGGGAGGAGGGGAAGCCGGGAGGAAGCAGAGACAGGACACCTGACCCAAACTGACCAAAGAGGTATTCCATACCACAGCACGTCATGCCCAGGGGTAACTGGGAGTTAGCCGGAAGGGCTGGGAGACTGCAGGGTTGGAGGAGGTATTGGTCAGAGCTTGGTCAGGCTGGGGGGGCGAGTGATCGGTCAGGTGGTGGTGAGATGATGTATTCTCTTCCCTTGTTATTTCCTTTATCATTATTATTATTGGTGGCAGCAGTAGTGATTTGTGTTACACCTTAGTTACTAAACTGTTCTTATCTCAACCCGTGGGAGTTGCATTCTTTTTGATTCTCCTCTCCGTCCCTCCGGGAGTAGGGGGAGGGAAAGAAGGGGGGGGGGGGTGAGTGAACGAGTTGCCTGACTGGGTTTAAACCACGACACTCCCTTTTCCTGACAGAGAGCAGACTGCTGACTGCCACTGAGTCCTTTTTATTTTCTTCATGTGGTTAGCTGCTTCCAGGGCTCCTTCTAGCTCTGCTTCCCAAATAGAAAGGGCATAGGAGAAGTGCTGTGAAGCAAGTGCTTAATTCTATCCCCATACCACCTCAATAGCACTACCTCTGTATCAGCTGTGAAACATGATACAGGTCCCCTTTTGCATTCAGATGCTATTCTGCCATGCCATGCTTCACCTAATGCAAGGGCTTCACGTTACCATGGCCAAGCCTCTTAAGCACTTCCTAATGTGCTTCAGGAACAAAGACAGGAAAGCCACAGCTGGGAGGCCAAGGAGGAACATAACCATGACAATGTGCACCCAAACCAAATCATAGGCTATTAAAAACAGTGGAAGTATGAGTCAACTTTTTTCTCTCTTTCAACTATTTTAAGCCTAGTTGCAAAGATGCCAGTTAATGTCCTCTTGGCAGTGCTAGATCATTACTAAGTGGCAATGACCACAACACTTGAAGGGTGAGCTGCACGTTAGGGAACAACTTTTTCCTCAAGTGAGCAGCACAGCACCAGAGAAGGTTGCCCAGAAAGGCTCCAAGCAGGAAGTTGGCCTGTGGATGTCCCTTTCAATTAACATGTGTGATTTTCTCTATCTTGTCAACAGCCATTCTGCCTTGCCACCTCCCTTTTTCATCCTGCCTGGCATTCTTGCACCTTGACTAGCAAAGAGAGCTAGCTTGCTTATCCTCAGCATACATTTTTGGGACTTGGAGCCTCTCACTTCAGGGCTTGGGCTTTCCCACTACCTAACCATTCAGCTGACCTTTCTCCTATCCTGACTTCTTGAGGACTTACTCATCATATTAAACATTTGTTTAATTTCTGTCATTTCTTCACTGCCTTGCACAACACTGATTTCTGCCACTTTTTACAAGACTTGGCCCACTCTGTTCCTGTAATCAGGCTTGCAGCAAAATGCTTAGCACACTGTACAGTTTCCTTCCCTTCCTCCACAACCCTTCCCCTGTCATCCAGGGTCTTACAGTTGTTGCCACCACCTTCTCCTTCCACCACCAAACAGCGCCCTGTCTCTTTTCTGGGACCGCAGAGTGACAACTACTGTGCTATGTTTGCCCTCATTTTATTTTTTCACTCCATCCTTGCTCAAGCCCTCCTAGTGGGGTTGTTTTAGTCCTTGCCCTCCTTCACTACCTGCAAGTACTGTGCACTAACTCGGTGCTTTGTAGCATTTCTCTCAAATGATTCCCAACCACAGCTGCAATGAGATTTCTTCACCACATAAATAGTGGGGTGTCCATTCCTTACCTGAAGGGTCCTTCATGGCCTTGCCTCTGTCTATGTTCTTAATGATCTCCAGTCTGAATTTGCACTCTCTGTGTCTAAACCAATCATTAAGCTTGACATTTTATGCTGACGTACCACATCTGAAACCCAGGAGTCACAGCTGCACAACGCTGCAGAGGAGAATCAGGCCTACAGCCCCTGCTTATATTCAGAAATAAAACCCAAGCATTCTAGTTGTGCAACATTTTCACTAGTCTTTTATTTTAAACAACAGACCAGCTACCTTCAGTTATGTCCACAACACCAGAAGACCATTGGAACAATTGAACTGTTCTGCTGTCCTGTCAGTAGACCATCATGGTGTAACAACAGAGCTGAGATCGTAAATCCATTGTCCTTTTGAAATGCCTAAACATGAAAAGTGACAAGGTCAACAAAGAGGACAAAGTTACGTAAGGTCTTTTGGGGATGTGGTAAAAAGGAACTTTGTGTAGGCAGAAACCACCTGGATGGAGGGGAGAAGGAAAGGGAGGTGCAAGGACTACTATATTTCTAAATGCATTCCTTGCTTAACACATAAACACAGAACCTGACTGAGGACAAGACATAAGTCTTCTCTCTCACAGGATCAGAGGTAAATATTTAAATCAATTTAAGTAACTTTTCTGATACTTTTAAAAACCAATCTGTGGCTCATATGTCTGTATAAGTTATTTAAAATATAACACTGCTATAGTGCATTATTCTACACTGATATTTTTCTAGATGTCATCCCTTAGAGAATACAGATCTCTGAGGCTAAGGAAAAATGCTAATTTGGGGCATAACATCACAAGAAGGGAAGTTTTCTTAGGGCAGTAACTGTCTTACTAATTAAAATCTTCAGTTTGCAATGATTTGCAACCAAACAGTTGATAAATACCTTTAGACTTCAGAGATTGTCCCATAATTTCTGTTGCTCCATTCCATAGATATAAATCTCAATAATAATATTAACAACAACAATAACAACAATGAAATGTTTCTGGTCTCTTAACTGGAAAACATAAGGCAGGCACTATTGAGCAGATATTTTAAAGTCTGAAATACTCATAACCTCAAGGAATCTGCCCGTTTCTGGGAAAAATAAAATTGCTGGAACGTACGGGAGGGATGGTAGGTAAACATCATGAGTAAAACTCTATCTAAAAGCAAACACCAGAATAGGTAGCTGGGCAGGAAAAGCACATGAGCCTAAGAATTATGTCTAAATTCTTTCCTGGTTTCAGCTCTCAATTCTACATAGATCAAAGAGGAAGTAGTGGGAAACTCAGGTGTGCTGTAAGCCTATGTACTAAAATCACATTTAAATTCTCCTGGAACATTACTTTGATAAATCATTAGTTAAGCACAAAAAGGAAGAAAAATAAGCAGCTTACAAGTTTGCACATTTTTGAAAACCAAAAGCAGAAAGAAACACAAAGAAAATGGCAGCTCTGTAGAAGAGGACATATGTAAAATCATATGAAAATATTATTTGAATAACAAAAAAACCTAAAAGAAATTGCTGCTTCTAACAGATGGAAAACAGCATCTGTGTGGAAGATAAAACATACAACTAGGCTATTAGTTTTAGTGGGTGCCAAGGCATCGTGTTGCACATGTGACATTTCTCACTAATATGCACTGTGTATGTAATTTTAAACATTCAAATAGTACAATTCTGCCTCTTGCCTCTTTCCAGGTTGCAGCAATGGAACTGATCTCAACATCAGTTGGCAAGTTTACAGTTGATCTTTTCAACAAGCTGAATGAGGCCAACAAGGGCAAAAACATTTTCTTTTCCCCCTGGAGCATATCATCCGCTCTGGCTCTGATGTACCTGGGTGCAAAAGGCAATACAGCAATAGAGATGGCAGAGGTAGGTTGCTCTATGAAGCATACATCCCACATAACACCGGTCTCCTACAATGGCTTGCAAAATTCAGTGCTAAATAGATAAAATTGCCACCACAATGACAAGGAACCAAAGCAGACCAGAGAATGAATGGTAAATTTTACTAATTTCATAGC